GGGGTCGGCTGGCCGACCTGAGTGATTATCGTTTCATTTTTTGGGGGTTTTCAATTTGAGAAACGAGAGACAACGTGTTTTTCAATTTTCATTTTTTGTTTTTAAAAAAAAAAAAACGGGAAATGAGTAGTTTTTTTATTTTCGTTTTTCAAATCAAAAAACAAATGAATGAAACGTACGTGGACCCACAAGGCTGTCATATGCCATGCAGCTGTGGGCAAAGTAACACACTATCAAAATGAACTGTGAAAAAAACCACTTTTTTGTTGTTTATTCCACTACTTGTGACCCAACTCAAGAATGGACTTAGGAAAGGTTAAGACTTGAATTTTGGTTCTATTTTACCCAGGTTAATCTAAAGCCTCAAGGCCAATGTGCTAATGACATCATGCCTTTTCTACATGTACACTTTCTTTTGTGAGGCAGGAAACAAAGACAAAATCAAAGTTTCAAAGAAAAGATCTGATCAAATTCTGAAGTTGTCCGGCTCACCTTCCAGGGAATGTTGGCCTTCCAGCAGCGCCACGCCTCACTGAGATGCTGCAGGATGGTGCGAGCCTTGTTCTGCTTAATCCCTTCTGGCATCATGTCCAAGATGTCATGCATCACCTGCAAGGACCAACATACATGTAGTGACACATTCAGTAAAAAGTCTAAAAAATGTTCCCAGGAATAAAAAAATCAAAGCTTCAGTATTCCAGATTTACACAAGTTGATGAAGGGTATACTTTCGACTCGGTGAAGTGAAATGTACTTCGATAAGTTAACTTCACTTCACTGAACTTCAATAGCAATACACAAGACTAGCAACAGGCTAAGTACAACAAAAATTCAAACATGTATTTCAAGCCAGAATTTCAAACGTGTCCAATACAAGTCCTGTTGGTACTGTGGCTGACAGTATGAAATTCCACAAGCCTATTTTGAGGGAACATCAAGTGATTCTTTGGAGTGTATAAAGAGACCAGAATGTTATTTCAAGTGATGAAATCTAGCAATGTGTTCACGTGAGCAGTCTACTGACCGATGCCCTGAGCTCCAGGTCGTAGTGGCTCTCCACGCGCTGCTTGGTGACCGTCTTGGTGACCCCCTTTGAGTGCCGTCCCTCAAACTGTCTGGACAGTAGGTTGCCCAGCCAGCGCTCCAGAAGCGGGGTGATGCCACGCAGGAAGAAGACCCAGACGCGCCAGCCGGGTGCCCAGAACCCGCAGCCGGGGCCCTTGCCCACCGGGCCCTGTGATGGCAAAGAAGAGACAAGTGCATCATCGAGTGCAACAGAATAAACATGACAGATTCAAGAAAAAGGTCAATAGAACACTTGCAGATTACAGATTACTGACCGTATTGAAGCGGTAATAGATCAGATGCTTGAGGTCCTTGCACATCCGGATCTGTCTCATCAGCTTGTACTTGTAGCGGTACATGCCAGTCAGCTGTCCAACGTGGGCAAAGATGTACTGTAGGCCATCAGCAAGCTACGTAGACAAAGCAAAAAAAAATTAGAGAAGGGCCAAGCATTGAGAGAGGGGGCAACCGATTGCCTTCGCTTGTTGAAATGGTTACAAGAGGGAAAGTCAAACAAGCTTCAGGTTCAAAAGAGGTATTTATGGCACATACTCAGAAGAGGAAACTTCACTGGTTTAATGTGGTCTTCAAAAGCTGGGCCAGGCTTGAAGGAAGCCTGCACCCTTGGGCATTAACAAGACAAAATCAGCAAGGCTACAGCCTTGATGTCTCTGTAAACATGGCTCTATTAATTGGTAGCTGATATGTTTCATGGAATTTTTAAGTTAACAAAAGCCAGATTTCAGGCCTGCTGGCCCAAACCAGGAGGAACTTTTCCAAGGCTTGGCCATTTGGTCCTTTTTACTCTTTCCCCTTCACTGTTTCCTCTTGTTTCATTAACGTAGTGACTTGGTTTGGAAGGAGGATTCGAGTCGAGGAGCTGCGATGAAACAATGTAACTGTACCTGGAATGCATCTACGTTGCCCAGTCTGTACTGCACGTGGCTGTCCACAATCAGCTTGGTCAGCCGAAGGATCTCACGACACAGATGGAAGGCGTTGCCAAAACGGGACTTCTTACGCTCCTGAGAAGGACAAAAAAGGGAAACCCATTGTCCAGAGACACTGCATTAACTAGCTTGGTTTAAACAAAGAAGACTTTTTCTTTGATCACCACAGCGCAGTCTGTAATTTTAGTTGGCATTTTTACAAGAATTTGAGCAATTGGGGGGGCAAAGAAAGGTAATTTGTTAAAATTTCTCGTTACCTTAGGGAGACAGTGAAACCTTTGATGGGCCAAGCCTTTAAAAGACTGGTCATAAAATATGCCTTGGTGTGTGGGCCTTTTAATCCTGATCAAAGTGACAATGGGTAGTCCCACCCCTTTGGATGCAGTCACGCATAACTGGCATTCCAACTCCAGAGTCAATCCCATCCGCCGCACTCCACTTCAACAAAAAATAATCATGGTGCCCATTGTCGGTCGGCTTTGATGTTTGCAGTCACTGTTGCTTTTGATTCATTCTGGCAGATACATGTACGACGTTTTGCAAGTAGGTTGGGCTGGAGAAAAGGAGGGCCTTGCCGCAGTCTTAATAATGTTGTCACTGTAATGGCAGTATTTCTGTTTGCTGTTACCAGGTGCAAATGTCTGCTGTTTTTGTGGTTTTTTTTTAACCCCTTTGCACCGGGAGGCAGCTATAGCCGCCGTAAAATTAAGATCCTCAGCCCCCTTTTCAGCTATTATTCTCGGCTCTTGTGTATATGGTAATTGGTCTTTGTGTGAAGCCCAGAAATGAAAAGACCGATTTTGCATCACAATCACCAGCTTCACAACAGTCCCCACTTTGTAAAGAGGCAACAGGAATGTGGAAGCTTGAGTAGAGCCGCGTGCCACCAAACAATCAGCCTTTTCACTGTGTAATTCACGGTTTGGGAGGTGGCCAAGTGAGGCTGGAATTCTTGGAGTCGGCTTTCGGAGAGAAATTCCCGCCGAGAGGGGGTTAAGCAGTTTTAGTTTGTTTTTTTCAGTGATCATTCATTTTCCCCTATTTATGATTGTCTTTCTCATAGATCTGTTTCTTGTCCAAATCATGAAGGTTAAAACAAACATGATGTGATTGTGTTTCAGATGGATTTAATACAACTTCAAACATTATCTCCTATTTTTTCTGATTTCAGAGGGAACGCTGTACATTGGTCACCAGACTTCATAAAAAAATCAAAGATACAAGGAACACGTCACGATTGTTATGTTGATAGAAAATGTGAATGTTAGAAAGCAGGTGTTAGAAATAAAATTTACAATCCCAACTTGAATTTTGAACCCAAATATTGGAAACTTAAAAGAAAAATCGAGACTGACCTTTAGTAGTGAAATTTAAAAATGATCATATTCAAAGAAATTTACACAGTCGCTGATGTCTGACTGATTTTCAACATCCATGTTTGGCTTGAATAATTAATGCAAGAATCATTGGAACGAGTGTCACCATAGAAAGGTAGTAAATTTGCAGGCTTACATCAGCCGTTGCCCATTTAAAGACAAAATTAAACCTTATCTCGGAATGTAAGGGCAAACAAAATAGTAGTTGTGCTTCCTATTACACTGAAAACAAAATAGGTTGGGTAGGTGGGAAGTATCTTGGTAGAAGTGTTTTGGTAAAACAATCAGGGTGAAGATTTTTTTCAATTCAAAAGTGATTTTGATGTTTCATGATTTTTTTTTAGCTATGTAAGAAAGAATTTGATTAGAATATGACAAGTAGCAAAAACTAGAATGTGATATCTATGGTCAAGTAGAGGTTTGTAGAGTGAGCTGGCCCTTTTCCCACCTGATCCAACCACATTTCAAAATTTCAATTCTTCGGTACAACAAAGAATGCACATTGCATCCCAGGCGCTTGGATTTTCCGGGCGCGGACTGTGTTGAATGCCTGTCTATGGTGTGTTCCATCCACTGTTTTATCCCCGCAGATTTGTAACTGCAGGATTGATCTTGACAAAGATTGTATCTGAAGTAAACGCCTCTTTGAACAATTATACATTTGTGTTGCAATAATATTTCAATAGCACGTACAAAATGATGCACATATTACATTGCGCGCCCTGCGCCAGTTGTGAAGTCCTGAATCGGCGAAAGCCAAAATGAACTAACCTTATTCAAGTCGTAAATTCGTGTGTGCTAACATGAGTTACAGTGGAGATTGTTAGTCACAACCTCCGCTCACAGAGAAACGGCTGTAATGAGTCCCACTGACTCCACATGAATATTGATGTTTCACTGGCAGCCAATCACAATAACCGGGTGGCCCAAGGATATAACACAAAAGGATTGCACTTTGAGCCAGGCTCCACAGCTAGCTACGTATCACTGTACAGTACATGGCGGTGTTTTTTCGACTTGAACCGGCTGGGATACGTACAAAGACTGGTTAATGAATTCCCATTAAGCCTTCTTTGCGGATGGTTTGACGTGGCGGGAACCAGTGCAACATTGCTTCAATTGCATTGAGCACATGTTTTCACCACTGCGATTCATACAACGCTTGTCATGAATGAGTCGTCAACAATGGTTTTTCAGACAAGGGAGTCACAAAAACCTTTCGTTGTAACAGGAATTTTGCACAATGCGATTTCGCTGTAACAGATTTATATAGAAACCAAAGATTTTCGCCGGGACCACAGATGCACGTTTGTTATAACCCAAATTTTGTTACAGCCGATTCATCACAACGAGTGTGGGATGCATTATTTACGCACCATGCATGTACATTGTACACGTACATGTACTTCGGCATGGTAGGCTGCAGCACAGTAATCATACTGCATTGCATTTTTGGGGATCACACGGTCGCGGTTGCGGTGAGGGGAGGGCTGGGGCAAAAAATACACAAGCTACAGTATTTGTGGCTGTCCGTCGCGATCGCGAAGAGCACTGTGGAAAATGTAGGCGTAGATGGACAAAAAAGATTTAAATTCCTCTTTTAATGAAAGGGCACTGCAGCCAAATTTCCTGAGAGGATGCAACAAAGCTGGCCCTGGAAACCGCTATTTTTCAAGAGACATTGCAGCAATTGAAGGCTTTCGATCAACGGCACGGCTACATGGCTGTCGTGAAATTCCTTTCATTTAAAATTGCCTTTTTAAAAATTGTTTCACAGAACTTTGGTGTTTCCCCTGAAAATTAGAAAGTGTCTCTATTTTAAAACCTGCGACAAAGGAAGCCTTACTACAGATATCTGTCCATTGTGCCTTTACATCGGTTACTAGTACTGACGTCTCCTCGAACACATACAAAACCGAGCAAGAACACGTGTATATTCTTTTTCTCATCTGGCCCCTTCAGCCTTGCCATTACCAGCTCCTCAAAAGAATTTTTCAACTTAATCCTTTTTAGTGAACAATAAACCATGGACAAAAGCCTGCCTGGAATGAGCTCTTTGTGGCTGGGCAGGTCGTTCGGGTAGGACATGGAAACCCCCAATAAATGATTGTCAGGCTTGGCTTTTGTTCGCAGATTAAAGTTTAACAAACAGGTTCAAAGGCTGCATAGTCTCGGCAATGACCAGTTTTTGAAAGGCTTGGCCCCGTCAGGGGTTTCGGCGTGCCCCCTTAGAAAAACTGCTCAAGTCAACAGACTTGGATGTCACATTTGTCAAATACAGATCCAATTTCTTCTGACAGCCATGACATAGTTTGTCCTATGCAACTATTGGTAGATAATCTGATAAGCTTTTTAAAAAAAAATCCATAAAAACTTCTCATTTTTGCCTACCTTGGTGGTCAGCGTCTTGACAGGCTTCAGGTTGAAGTTGTAGTCCAGATGGAGATAGTTGAGATTTTTGCGGTGGATGAGCAGGTTAAGCATGTTGTAGCCTTGCCGGCACACCTGCAAGCCCACTTCCACCCAATCCAATGTAGTGGACTGGAAAAACTTGGTTGCCTTGAAGGAACGGAATAGGTACCTGAAAAGGAACAAAGTCAAAATAAATGCTTCTTAATTTTAATTTTTTTTAACTATCAGCCACGAGTGGAAACACCCCCTCGTCGGTTGAAAAGAGACATGTTGGCAGGAAGTGTTCATTTTGTGGGTAATGACATGACTGCAATGTGTGCATTTCACAGTCGTTTGTGAACCAGTTAAGTGTAGTTCCCACCAAAAGAGCCTCCACTGCGAGGAAAATTGCACCATCTCTTGGTCTAGATCGGGGCTCATATGCTCACCATGGGGTTCAACACAGCCGAAAGATCAGTGGACCTGAACTAGGCTTGTGCGGTACTCCCGGTTCCGAGTGGAACCGTGGTTCCACAAAAAAATTGGAATCGACTGCTGCTCTGCTTTTGGGTACCCACCACTGGTGGTTCCACATTCGAAGAGCTGACTCCAAACATCAAAGCCGAGTTACCGCCGCTCTCACGTGTAAGTGTATAGCATGCTGTACATTTAGCAGGGCACCCTTCCACACAAGGGAAAATGCGTACACAAATGAACTGTAAAATACCCTTGTGTCTGGGTACCAAACCACTTGGTTATTGCAAATGCGGCGCAGCGGAGCTTTGACAACCGGAAGCCATGAAGCTCGAAGAATGTCTTACATGTGGCTGTGACTTTAAGATTGGTGAATTTTGCCTGGTACTTGCGTATGACGTGTTGTACTTTTCGCATATACATGTATGACACCAGGTGAAATTGCCGCGTGGTTAAGAAATAGCCTAGCCGTTGCCCGAACCAGTGAGGGTCTCGGTTCTCAACTTGTCACTTCAGAGCTGATTCCATGCAACGGCATAGCTTACAAGATAGTGGATGTATCAGAGTTTTTGATGTGCCCATTGTGGACGAATGACCAGTTTATGCATGGTCCATGGCCATTTACGATAAGTTGGCACATGTTCAATAAGTACACGTGATCCAGTCCATACATGAAGTTCCACGGCATGGTCGACGATTCCATTTGTATTATGGGTAAAGTTACATGTACTGGCAACGGCAAATCGGTTGTTCTGATTAAAATCTTTTTATACATGTACGTAGAGTGGAAACTAGTGCAGGAGAAAGCAGTACTGAGTTGTATCATGGTTGTACATACATGTTGCAGATTTATTCCAGCCATGACTAGTCTATGAAGAGGTAAAAATAAAACTCAAAATACCCTCTGTGGATAATCTTAAAGCCCATGAAAGGCCAAAAGCCCGTCTGTTGTGCCATTGGTGAGTGCAGTGGCACCGGTGTGATATGCAAGGCATGGCAGCGACAGATTCTTAATGTGTTTTATTATACCTTATGTTTTTCTTTATATCTTTGGGAGCTGGTTCTAACTCAAAATCACGGTCCTTAGACGGAGCCAGAGCCTGCTCTGAGAATTCTGGAACGCCCCAACACTAATCTGAACCAGTGATTTTAACACTGGTCTTGTAGCACTGGCACCAATACATGCCTGCAGTCTATTGTTTGTCTGTTATTTACCTACAAATTATTCCAAAATTCTGATAAAAAGAAACTGTGCAAGCTTAATTTCTCTGAGATGAAAATTCAGTTCGGCAAACTAGAGTGATACTTGAATATCTCTACCCACTAAGCGCTTAGTGCCCCAACAGACACAACTGATATGCTTAGATCAAACTACGTTGGTCAAGATCCAGAGGTTGAAAGTTTTAACCCACCTCTTTTTCTGCGACTTTGGGGGCCTGTGCTTGAGGGCATTCAGGACATAGATCTTCAGGAGTTTCTGGTACGAGACGCGAACTTTGACCGGCTGACCGCTTGGGCAGTGTTCGCGGTACCTGCAACAACATGGCATAAATGGAAAGAATAGGCAATGACGGACAGGCTGTACTTCTGAGTTTAAACCAGCATGTCTCGCTGCAAAGTAATGATTTCTTCCTTTCAAGTTTCAGGTAATTTGATTCTGTATGTACACTGGAACAATCATAGTGATAAACTGAGTGAGAAGTCTGTCAACAGCCAAGTACCTGGCAGAGATGAAGTTTCAACTATCGGTGAACGTTTATGACACCTAACTTGCACGATACCGTATAAAATTCCTGTCTAGTAATTCTGACTAAATACCAAAGGCACTGCAGATGAACATGTATTCTAACCTTGGATGTTGAATGAAGACAGCTACCCAAAGAGATTTAATGTGTTCAAATTGTTGGCTTTTTTTTTGGAGGAATTACGTTCTAAATACCAACAACTAGGGCCAGAATAGTAGCCAGACCACTGTTCTTTTGAGGTAAACTTCTCACCAGGATTTGACTAACGGTACATCCACTGCTCGTCTGTGCCGGCCAGAGCGCAGGTTGAAGGGTCTCGGTGCCCACAGCAAAGCAATGCCATTGGCCGTGTTGTCTGTGTACAGCGGCCTGTCCTGCAGGAAGGGCTGGACGTAGTCAGGCAGCTCAAACTCCTCATCGTCATCCGGTAAAGGCTCAACCACCTAGACACCGAGAAAAAAATGACTACTTTTAATGTGGCAAGACCTGATACCAATGGGTGAAACCAGACAGCTGTTAAGCACAAAATTAGTGTCACAGTAGCAAAAACTAGCAACAGTACACTGCTCATGAATAGATCCCAGCTGAATTTTGCTTAGACCATGAACTTACTATCTGCAGTTTTCTTTATCAACTATTACAAGTTAAGTTCAGTGACACTACATTTCTTGACACACACTTATCGACTCTAACTAATCAACAACATCAACAGATGTTTAATATCCTCCCAGAAGCCAAACACCCAAAGTGAGTGGATAGTCTGGCTTTTACCTTTCCGCTGTGTCTGTGGGAGATTGGGTTGATAAGGGGATCAAAGTAGAAGGCAGGTAGATCAGGATCTTCTGTCTTAATGAACACAACACTTGGGGTGTGGTACCTACAAGAGCAAACACGAACAATGAAAATCAAATTCCACACAAAAACTGTTTTGCAATATTAACTGTGTTTCTTGGAGAACATCTTTTTTCTATTGGTATTAAGTACTAATGGTTAACCTTTGGTCAGATTCGATGAGCGACAATCCATCAATCACTGGTCAATTTTGCCCGGTACATTGATTACATGTTTGTGTACAGATTACCAGGGAAATATCAACCAGTGGTCATTAACCAGTTGCTGACTGAATTTGGCCTTCGCTGGCCTTGATTAAGTTCAGTATTACTCACCATGTCAGCTGGACGTAGTAAGGCAGGTTGTTGTAGAGGTACGGGAAAGCTATCTTGTACTCTGTACGGATTTGCTGGCGGATGATAATCTTGTTCACGTCGTTAAACTCATTCCAATCCTCATCCCTGCATCAAGATCATAGCAATGAACAATAGACGCATGAGGGTTTTTACTTTGAAGCACTGTAGGTGAAACTTTGGAATAGTTTTTGCACTGATCACTTAGGAAAATTGAGTTTTCACAAATAAGACCTGATGAAGTTCACAACAAAAGTTTAATAGCTCTCTAGGCACTCTTGCAATGAATTTTCCTGAATCCCACAAAATCCTGAAAGATGTGGGCAGCCAATGGAAGACTTCTCTGCAATTCAACTTCCACAGAGAATCATGCCCAGTGTCAATCAAACATGGATGCGCTTTATGATTCTAAATTTTTAAAAACCATCCAAAACCTGGTGGATGGATTTTCAAAGATGCTGGAGGGTTAAGTTCAAGTAACAAATGGAAAATTACTTTTTATCGACACGGAAAACTCCTTTTTTTACCACCACCAATTTTCTTTTGCTTATTCTAAATCACACTTCTTTATGTTTGTGAGAAAAAAAAGTAATGTCTCTGGCTACAACTTTGTTGAATAGGCTTCACAGACAGCTCTACTCACAGGAGGGTGGCGTCTCGCACAAGTGGCTCAAACTTGGGACCGCCGGGGATGGCCATGTTGAGGGCCTTGGAGGTGAAGAAAGACTTGAGGTCAAATAGGTAGAAGTAGTTTTCGTCCATGAGGTCAGTCAGCAGCTGATTGGCAAGCCGGTAGACGGTGGACATCATGGGCAGGGTCAGCCGCCAACTCTTGTAGCTGGTGCCATTCACATTGCTGAATAGTTCAACAATAAATTAAGAGTCTGCTTGAGGGGTTAAATCTTACATGTACAAAACAATATATGAAATTCAGCACAGCTTGCAAGTTTGTGTAGAGTTGCTGTAAAAATTCTGCGGTAATAAATGGGGTTTGTGAACCCAATCCTGAGAGTCCTCAGTGCTCAAACTGGTGAAGGATTGAAGACTGTTTTCCTGTCAGACTATCAGGTTATGATGCAACCATTTAATGAAACTTGGAGTGCAATGCATTTTTATATTTTGGGTAAAATGTCACAAAATTTTAACTCATTTAGGCACCTTTCAATAATGTATGGTTTTACGGTGCAATGCATGTGCGATGTATTCATGCTTTCACTTTCACGGACACAAAAATTGACTCCATTAACATAACACATGTATGCGTTGCATTCAGCCACCAAAATCGCCCCAGGAGATGCAACGGATACTCAATGCTTGGCGCAAGTGCTGTCGTGCATATGGAAAGGTGGCTTTACACTGAGGGGCCTTTTGTAAAACAGAAAGGAAACAATGCCAATGGAAATTCATTCCACAAAGGAAGTTTGACAAGGCAATGTCATAGGATCAGTGTGAAAGCTCCACAAGCCTGCTGAAGTGACATAAATTGACAAAGCAAACAAAGAACTGTGTCTACAAACTTATTGGACTGGTAAAAACTACAAGAAACTCAAAACTTATTACAAGTGAGCAGAAAGGAGTAGAAGCGTCTGTACTGACTCACACTGTGTCAATTAGTGGTTTGTGATCATAGAACCACTCGTAGACGGGCCCGTCCTCTTCTGGATCAAGCTCCATGTTGATTGGCTCTAGTGGTTCCACATCCAGAATGTTGTCTGCATAGTCCAGCGGCGGCTCTTCGTCATCAAAGGGTGGGAAGCGCATACGTTTGAAATGGCGACGGTCGCGCTTCTCGCGTCGCATCATGATCCACATGGTTCTGTGAGAACACAAAATATGACATTGAAACAAGACGTCAAACACTGAAAATGAGAACTTGTTGAAAATGATCAAAGTATGTGTGAACTATTAAATGCTCCAACATGCAACATAAATGTTGTTAGAATGGAAACACTGCAACAAAATGCTACACATCGAAATGGCAACACATTTACAATGAAAGCAACAAAATGGAACGTACTGTAAAAGTGGACTCTGTAGTCAGCAACCTGATCAAGGGCAAAAGCGTCAGAATGGAAAGTCATTATATAAAAAAAAGAAGAAGCCAGTTATCTTAAAACTCACCCCCACTGTGCAATGTAGACGGGTTCAATGATCCTGGCCACCTCGTTGACAAATGATATGGCTCCGGTGATGTGGTACAAGACGTTGACGTCGCGAATCTGCTCCCACGGCATGGGCATGTTCTCAATCAGCTTGAGAACGGCATGAGGCATGTACTTCAGGGCCCTGTAAAAAATGAATTTCACAAAGAGGAACTGTTTAAAATTAAAATGTACAGTTAACGTTTTTACTACTTATCTCTTTGACTCAAGTGAACAGACGTAAAGCAAATACCGATGAACTTTTAAAGAAGATGTAGAAACAGATTATACATGGAAATTTGTTATTTTCTGAAGCTCCACAAAACAGATACAATTCATCATGTTCGTTTTCAGTATTCATTACTGAACAGTGCTGAGCTATTTTTACTCACCCCAAGTATACCCTCTTGTCATGTCTAAACTTTCTGTTGGTCATGTCGCCGTGGTCACGGATGATTTTCCGCACATGTTCAGGGGGCATGTCCTCTTTCTGGGCATCCACAAAGCCGAACTTTCGCTTCTCGGCATAACGCTTGGACTGCAGCTGCTGCCATTTTCGAGCTAAGGCCAAAGAAGATTCAACATGGTGAAACATCTCTGCAGCATTCAGCTGCCTGGTCACACCACTTGTGAACAGAAATGTATGAAGGTTATGCGCTGCTGGCGTCTCAGAGGTTGTCCCTTGTTATTTCAATATTATTACAATGAAGGCACAATGTGTTTACTCGAGCCTATTCAAGAGGAAGAAAGACTCTCCAATGTGACGTCATACACATACATGTAAGGTCTATAGCTTGTAATAGGGTGACACACACATGAATACATGTATACGGGTATATCACTCATGATGTAAACAGGATTCATCAGTTCACAGCATCACTGACAAACTTTAAGGGAAAATTATAACAATTACTGACAAATTCCCAACAGAACTTTTTTTTTTTACTTTTCCAGAATTTTTTGGTATGAACTGAAAATTTGTGTCACTATTTTTTGTTTGACATATTAAAACCAGCTTTAGCTTTGAGAAACAAATAAGCCCTAACATTCTGCAGCTGTTGTGTTCTAAACATTACTGAATCTGCCCAAATCCAGCAATGAGCAAAAAACCAATGGCACAATCACTGTCAATTTTTACCTTCATAGTGGACTCTCTAAAATCCTGCAAAAATTTTTCAAAATTTTCAAATACATGGATTTTACAGAGCAGGGAAGGTTAGGCCCAGTACATGTAGCATGTGTTCAAACTCTGTTGAAAGACCAGAAGTTACACTAACAATTGAACAATTTATGTTATTGGAAATTTGGAAGTAGCATTCATCTACCTTTTTCTTGAAGCTTCTCCTCCATCATGTAGCTGGGCACCTCTTGAGGGACCACACTGGGCTGGGGTGGATAGGTGCCTGGTGGAGCCAGGGCATAGCCACCGACGAGGGTTGCCATCTTGCAAAGGGGGAATCACCTATATGTACATGTATGCATGGTAGATTGATGGAATACCAAAAATAAATAAATAAATACCCTCCCCTCCCAAAAAAATAAATCAATCAAGTTCCTGCTGATCTTTCTTACATATTGCAGAGCCACCCACATCAGGATATTATTCCCACCTTTTCAAACTTGAGCAGATATAAAGAAATGTAATGCTCTTGTGGTTGCCAACCGTGCAAACATTTATTAATCAGGTAGACTTACATTTACTAATAATAACTACTAATATGGCCGGCCCCCCCAAAATATGTATTTCATTTTAATCAGTGCATCTGATGATGTCAGGTTTGCATATATTTAGTACATAAAAAATCACTTGTTTTTTCAACTTGCAACTATAGAGTTGCATGCGATGCAGTGGAACATATGTATGACCCTTTTTTGGCAGAAACTGTACATTGTCTGGCTGCCGCATTTCCATGATGACTTCAATGGCAACGGTTCGGCCTGGCGGGAACCAGTGTGGTGCACCTCACATACATGTATGTTTTCACCACTGCGATTTGCAAACGCTTTATGAATGGGCCATCAACAATGGTTTTCAGGCAATGGAGTCACGAAAACCTTTCGTGGTACCACTATACCAGGAATTTCGTAAGATGCGATTTTGCTGTAACAGATTTTCTCCCCATAGAAATGTTTACATGTTGAGTTTGTTAAAATTGGAATTTCGTTACAACGAATTTCGTAATAACGAGAGTTGACTGCCACGCTGCAGAGTTTTCTGGTAGCCACCTTACTATTGCACAAGCGCAGTGTTAGGGTGCAGCTACATGTAAGAGGAGCAGCCACTGGTGACTGGCACATAATCATTACAATAACAACTGTCTTGGTGAGTACCAACTTGACTGTAGTACACATGCAGATTTTCACAAAGTATGAGTGGCCACATAGATACATGTAGGAATCACGGAGCAACGATTTTATTCTTTCACATATACACTATTTTTTTGACATCAAATGGACATATAAATTATAATATTTATTAAGTTTAGGGGTTTTGTGACGTTAAAAACCCCTTTATGCTGGCCCCTGGTTGTGTTTTGCTATTGAGTGTCAGCATTGCCACTGCTTTTTGATGATGTAATGCCTTCTGCAACAAATACATTACCACGGTATTAGTAAATACCTTGGTATATTTTTCATGGATATCGCGGTATCGAAAAAGGCAATACTGCCCATGCCTAGCCAGTAACAGGGACAACAAGGCCAAAATTTGTGCAAAGGAAAGGCACTGAGGCAAAGGTGTAAAATATTCTCCAAAACGAGTTATGAAACTGGAAAAATGAAAACTGGTGTTTTATGTGGTTGCTTGAGCTATCCTGTTTAAATTTTTATTACAAATGACAAAACATCATATCACAGGAGGGAATAGGCACATTTTCTAACAAAGGATTTCTTAATTTAGAGGAAATTCATATAATTAGAATTCCAATGAATTAAACCATATACATTTATTAAAGAAAGACAACATGTTTCGTCTCTACTTTGACTTCACAGTGCAAGCTTACCAGCCACCCCCCCCACCGTATATTTGACCAACCCAAGTTGAGTCTGCTGAGAGCATGCATACATGACCAAAATTAAGGGACAAAAAGACCTAGCCAAAGCTGTGGAGGCATATTTCGGACACGGCTTAAGCCCATGTATGCATGTGCCAGCTGGGTTACTGCACATTATGCCAGGCTTTGCTGGCTGGCACCATGCACCGTATCCACAAGTGCCTGCAGCGAATAATCATCCAATGAACGTTGGATTTCAAAACGAAATAAATGTACACATACATTAATGTATTGTAAATCAAAGCCAACTGTAGCACAGGCAAGCCTGTGACGCAGCTGGGGGGCCAGCCAGCTTGGCTGCCTTGGCCATGCACCCATGTCATGCATGTGGCGTGAGGACGATTGTGTACCGGTAGACAGCAACATGTGAATGTAAAGTTGAAAACTCACAGGAAATATTGGGTATTTTTTTTCAGGGCACCACTGCCAAGAAGAATGAGACACATGGCCAGCTTTGGCCGTGGACAAAGTGGAAATTTCCAGGGCACTAAGACCTATTGTTAGGGCACTGACCGCCATGGCAACAGTGACATTTGAGCGCTGCATGTACATCCACTACCTTACAAGAAATTAAAGACTTTCTCTACTTCACCATTTTAAAATTATCTCCCATCTTCCAGTAGTCAATCCAGCACAGGGATTTGATTAGAAAGAAAATGTAAGCAACTGCTGGCGGCGCAAATTAACAACTGATAAATACTACAATAAGTGCAGCGCATGGAGCATGATCAGACAATAGCCAATGATTGGTCATGTCAATCAATCACATCATTCCAAACAAAAACACTTCAGACTGTTCAACCATCATGACCACGGGCCTAGCTGTTTTACAGTTGCTTCCCCCATTTACCACTTTGCTCACAACTACATGTACATGTACTTCGCCCATTTGCCACTTTGCCCAATTGTCATTTCTCCTATTTGCCACTTCACAAAAATACGCTGTAAAATATCCACTAGGTTGCCAATTGTAGAACTCACCTTTTCCTCGTTTGGAGGAAAATATGTTGCCTTTTTGCTGTTTTCCCACTCCGGACGAAGTTTATCCCACTTACACAAAAGCAATGGCTGTTTCATCACTTTCAAGTCACGTTACAGAGAGCGAGGCGTGCTACCATTTGCCGCAAACAGTGTGCGACTGGACAGGGAACCAGCCAAGGGCATTGCATATTAACTGCGACACAAAACAGCTGTAATTTTTCTACGAGTACTTAGATCAACAGGTACTCTTGCAGATTTGAATGAGATACGTTCAGTGTAGGTGTTGAAGTCTGGGTCCAAACTAGACAGGCTCTCGTACATGGTACATGTACCATTACTAAACCATACAAAGGGGTCTGCGTAATGTAAAAAACAGGTGAAAATTCGTACGGAGTGGGAAAATGGCAAAAAAGGCAATATTTTTCCCTCCAAATGAGGAAAAGGCGACTTTCTACAATTGAATTAGCAACCTAGCATACATAAGTAGTAAACATACGGGTGCAATTTCAGCTCATAAAATTAAGCGGATGTTTAGTTACACATGTATGCCCCTGGATGTTCTGGATAAAGTTTCGAAAGAAATCCCTATTAATCGGGACAGGGCCCAGTATAAGACGGAGGAGTAGGCTATTCATTGGGCCCTGTTTACGGGTCTTACCGTCTAGCTCACCACGTGATACACAGACATTGTTGGCCAGTTGGCTGGTTCACAATTTTCTTGTAAATTGCGGTATGTAAAAATTCTTACATAGATTAAGACAGGTGTTCATCACGTTTAGAGATACTTTTGGAAGCTTTCGTCCCCACTGACAGGACTGATGCCATAAAATTAGCCCACGTTATAACTCTACCTTTTATGGCAGATCAAAAACTCGTAATGGCAGAACAAAACTGATTGTGTTATGACATTTTGTGCGAGCACTTTTTCAGTCTAATTTCGTGCTCTGTCATCACCATGTCTGTAAAACTACAAAAAAATGGCGTCACTGGAAATTCTGGACAAAACGATTTAACTTCGTCGGTGAATGTTCTCTATTAATTAGAGTCTGTCATCAAAGAAGCACCTGCATATGCATGTTATACTGATTTAATAATATTTCTCACGTGAATCAGGTAAAACATCAGACATTTGGAGGAAACGAAACCTCCTAAAACGTACCTCGTGTCCATTCAGCTCCGTAACAAATCTAAAAACGGCTCACGCTTGCTGGTAATTGGTTTAGTTTCAGACTCTCGCGCTCACCCGTATCGCATCCCTGGAGCGAATAAAGTGAACAGCATTATTATACCGCCAATCCAAATGCGGTTACCAGACTACTTTGGCAACAATGACGTCTCGATTATAGACTAGTCTCCTCTCGGGTATTCCACTTCGCTATGCGAGAGACGGAAAGAAGACTACGCTTTTATTTATGTGTTGTGTTGTCGTTTTGGAGATTGAGCAGCGCTGGTGTCCGATTGCAAACACTTGCGCCAGCAAAGATAATTACTGCATGGGTAGTACCAGTTAACAAGGCAAATGAATATTTTTGGAGAGCCGGTAGATGTGGTGGAAGTGAACTTAAATTCAACCGAAATTTTGCAGAAATTAAGGGTTTGTTTTTGTTCTGTCTCGTAAATGATAAATTGTAAAATGTCGTTATGTCGCCATTTACCCTCAGTTTCTTTGGTCTCGTGCTTTAACACTATGGACATGATGGAGGAGGTCAGATCATGTATTTAACGTGTTGAATATTTCCACTTAAAACTATAAGTTACATGTACATGTGTGCCTACTGTTATGACTGTTTGTGTCTGTTCATGGTCTGGTCTATATCTGTGCTGTGGTCTGCCGGCACTGTCTGTGTTGAAACCTGAATGATTTACCAGTCTTATTTTATACACATAGATGCTCACTTGTATCTTTACATCATACATGTATGCATGTTTGGGAGCAGAAGCCAGCAGAAGCAAACCTCATCATGTTTGTTTACTTGTAGGCCAAACTGGTAAAAGGTTCCATGTCCATGAGGTGTGATATGGAACTGATGCAGTATGTCCATGATTTTTAGTTTATAAACACCAGCGGCAGCCCCATGTTTTTTTTCGGGGGGGCTTAGTGGGGTTAGGTTTTGCACTTTGGGAGTGTGATTAGAGCCCCATCAGCCCCGCCCCCCCTTTTAAAACTTTCTGAATAAACCATAGACCTGGAGGAGAAAAATACAATGGACTGCCATATCCAGTAAGTGCACGTCGATCTTGCATGAACCAGAAGTGCCGAAGTTGAACTTTTATGGTATACTGAATACATGTACGCATACATGTGTTATGATACATGTACACATACATGTATCATAACACACTTGTATGCTGTCTATCTCATATATTTATCTCCATTTTGCTATTTTATTTTATTAAATATTATTTTAACAATAAAGATTTCCAAGGCAAAATTACGAGTGCAGCGACGTGTGACGGTCGCAGTCGTTAATTGCACATAAACACCTACATGTATTCAAAGGTCAACCGGAAGTTTCCTGTGCCAGCAACTCTGGCCAACAGAACATGTACATTGTATACATGCAATGCATGGGGCGCCTGTAGGAGTTGGCAGTCCATTGTGTTTTTCTCCTCCAGGTCTTTGAATAGACTCAACTATCACACATGCATCTCTAAGATATCTCTAAGAATATTTGGTGTACTTTTCGCTGAGTTACATATATATGTAGATTGCTGCATTTTATATCGTCTCATCATTACTGATGGTGACAGTGATGTTTTTACAGTCCGACTGAAATTTACTTTGTAAATGGTCAGATCAATTTCAGTATCGACAAGTATAAACTTATGAATATGTCAAGAAAGGTTCATTCCCAGCAGCATCCGTATTATATTAATAATAATGTGTTAACTGCCACTTCCTGTGAAAGGTACTTAGGAGTCGTGTTAATTGAATTAAATGATAAGTTAAATTGGAATAAGTACTGTAATGACATTTACATGTACATTAAGGCTTTATTAAACAAAATTTTAGTAATGTTCCGCTACGTTCTTTTAAGAAACTTTATGTCTTTCTTATCCACTCTCGGCTAGATCACTCATGTGTAGCCTGGGATCTACATGTATATTCATTGTAGGGTTTATCATTCCTCAGTAGTACATGTTGTACATGTAGAACGATTCAAAACCAGAATTTCAAATTTATTTGTAAAGACTGGCATACTAACTATACATGTAACACTGTGATTAATCGTTTAAGCCGGACTGATATCCAAACCAGAAGAAAGTTCTTCCTTTTGGTTGTGTGTTTTAAAATTCTTAATGGCCTTACCAGCATCAATGCCCTGGCCCTTTCTTTAATTTATGCCCTTACTTTTGTGTTGAATGTTTTGGTTACAGATACTGAAGGGAAAAGAATAGGGAGACAGAGTTATTGGACCCTAACAGAGGGGGAAATCATTCAACATGGCTGCTCCTATGCACGTGCAGCTGCACAATGCGGAGAGTGCCATCTTGTTCATGCAGCAAGAGCACGCCAAGACACTGCAGGGCCTGCACCAAGAACTGCAAAAACTCCAGAAAAAGTGCGCCGAGTTAACCTTTGAACTTGCCATGAAGAGCGAAGCGCCGGATGAAGGTGAGTACATGTACTGTATACTGCTTGTTCTTGAGTGGGTTGCTCAGCGTTAAAGAGTAATTCAAAGGAAAACATGTTTTCTCTGATTTTATCGGTTCAAATAAATATGGAAGCACCCATATCAAATGCAGTGTCGTTTGTCTTCAGAGCTCAACTATAACAAGCCAAAAAGGGCTTTTTTTCTGTTCATGCCAAGATGCAAATTCTGAACATGCTGAATGTAGATTGCGTCATTCTGAGAAAACAGAGAAAACAAGGTGTTCGTAGTGGATAAACCCTCGTGCTTGCCAAACAATGGCTACAAACAATGGCTGCAATGGCAAATTCATGGCATGAACAGAAAAAAAAGCCCTGTTTAGCTTGTTATAGTTGAGCTCTGAAGACAAATGACACTGCATTCGATTTGGACGCTTTCATATTTATTTGAGCTGATGAAATCGGAGAAAACATGTTTTCCGTTGTGTTGCTCTTCAACATGAGACCACTCCTCAGCACACTAGAGGATTTGCAAGGCTAGCATGTAGCAGGCCAGTGCTTTTGTTCCACAGGGTACATGTAAGTGCAAAGGAGGTTTCCCTGTGGTACACTGCCCTGCATGATGGCTTCTACATGTATGTAAAGCGTCTGTTGGTGGGAGTACAACCCATGGGAATCTAGAGTGTTCCCTCCATCAGACAATGGGTACATGTACATGTATACTCTCATGTCATCTGGTCATTCCAAGATGGTGGAAAGGTTGATCAGTCATGCATGTAATCCAAGAGAAATGTTTATTTCATGCAATGTTTATCAGCTCCTGTGTGTGTGGATAGTAAACAAGGGCTTTAGACATGTATGTAGAATGTGCCATTTGCTTCTTGGACAGAAAAAAACATTTTTTGGGGGGGGGTACCAGGGAGACTCAGACCACATAGCCTAGGGAGATCCGATCAAGACTCCTATACTTGTACATGTACATGTAATAATGATACTTGTTTCAAGAAAGTGGACCAAGTTGCAAGGTAACTTTAAAAAATGAAAGTGTGTAAGCTAATATCTACTGCCATGTGATAAAAAAGGCACCATTTCATGTGTGATGTGCGTAGTATACCCCGGTACATTTACATGTACATACATGTTCGTGAATAATAAATTACTTGTCCAGGGTCCTCAGTGGGTTCCTTTGATAGTGAGCCAGTATCATTAACTGTGGTAGTTCTCAATCCTGCAACAAGTGAAGAATTAATGTTTATTAAGGGGCTACACATAATGAATGCTTTGCACGACATGGCACCGTATTATAAGGTTTTGCCATTATCCAAGCATCTCTTATTCATGACACCAACCCCCCCCCATTTCAAAGGCAAGAGCAGGTGTCAGGAAATGAATGTTACCAGGGTTCTCCCCAGGATTTTTCAATAGTGTGGGGGATTTCAGTTGTGGTTTACCAACATTTTGCGAAGCGATGGCATGGGGTTCACACCCCGCCCAAGGGCCCCGAAAATTTGGGGACTTTATAGATGCTCTCAGCTGCATTTTAGAGCTTTTCCTGGGTTTTTCAAGTACTTTTTCTAAGGAAAAAACATAACAAATTCAATTTTTTTTTAAATTTTGGATATTAGTATTTTAACAAATGACCAGTTTTCTATTCTGGACTACTAATTAGGCCTGTAGGCACAAACAATGACAAAAGGAGTCATTTTAAGTTTCAGACATGCAACAACATGTAGTGCTGTTTAATCAACGATATAAACACCCATTTATTCAGTTTTAATTTTAATGCATGCTTCAACCTTTCCGTTTGCTGATCAAACCTGAAACTATGAGCTCCATTCAGTTGTAATGCAAAAATATTAGCTTAAAAGAAACAAATGTCATAAAAATATGAAACGATTTGGTCTTTATATAAAATAAACAACAAGGCTTTTCTTGTATATCGGCAAGAAAGAATACCCGCTGCAGGTGGCTCTTCATTTGGGTTTCCCTCAGCGCAGACTGCTGAAGTTATTGGCTTAAAAAAGAGCCTATCTTTGGCTGCATCCGAATCTCTTGTCTAGAGTTAGGTCTAGGTCTTCGTTCCATTGGAAATGCGGGGAGACACGTAGACAATAGACCTAGCTGTAGCTCTGGAAGCCCGTTTTGGACATGGCCTTAGATTGAGTTTCTGCCATTGTGCGCGAAGCAAAATGCGGTGATATGGCAACGAGAAATATCGTCCCCGTTGTAGATGCCATTAATACTCTTACACTGGGCTACGGCTGCCGCCATGAAAAAAAGAACGTGTGTGGGATCGATGTTGTAAGTTCTGCAAATGGTGTAGTATAAAATTGTACCCTTCATAAATGCAGCCCCAGTAGCGTATGGAGCACACGGCACAGAGAAAACACGTGCATGTACGACGCCCATGACGGAAGTTGAGATTTCATGCAACAACGGCCACGAGGAGCGTTCGGTGCCGATGTATGTAGGGTGTGCAGTGCAGTGTGGCCGCCGACACACGGTGCACAATGCATGTACAGTACATGTACATGGAAAAATGCAGGACTAAACTGTTTTTTCATCTAAATTTTCCAGACATGCAATCTGCATTATGTAAGATAACTCTGAGCCATACTCTCATAGTTATTTTGTGTGTATCGGGGATGAAAAAATGGGTATTGGCCCGTTTTTTGCGTATCGGGCAGAAATAATTGCGTATCGGGCCCAATACGCAAGTTTGTACGTGGGGAGAACCCTGGTTACCATGGTAACACTGATGCATGTCTCTGCCCGAGCAGTCCCCAACTGGATCATTACATGTCCTGTCATCTTTCAGTTGATTTTTCCAACCACTAAGCTTTGTTTCTCAATTTCATATTATTCTTTGTTTATTATGCAACCAATGATGTGCATGTGGTGTGAAAATACATTTACGTGTAAGGACACAATACTGGCTAACAAAAATGGGACACATGGGTAAAAATTCGATCTAGTGAAAGGTGTTTAATTTACTTTTAAATTATGACAATGGACCACCCTCTATCAGAAAATAGCAATGGGAAGATAATCGGCCCAAGAAATTTTCTTCCATGCAGTGCTTTCTGAAGAGGGGGG